AAGCCACAGGCTCTTGATCAGAGTCTGTGGTGTCAGTTTGTAAATGGACTTGTGGGTAGGAAATACTAGGCAATAACCTTTTGTACTTTCTATGGATAACAAGTGCATAATTTCTATGCTCACCTTCTACCCTGGCCTTTGGAGATGGAATCTTTATTTTCATGAGATGTTTTCATTAGTGGGAAAAAATTTGGAAACTGTGTCACAGGATGTTATAGTGATGCTGCCCCAGGAGAAGTAGAAAAACAAGTGTGTCACTGTCATGATGACAAGGTAATGTCTGGAAAGTAAGGGCAACCCATGTGCAGGAGAATGATTATCCACTGCCTTCTGCAGAGGGTTATCCAGAGTCATGGGAGGTTCAAGTTCACACACAGTTCCTATGGTAGTTGCCATTTTTCATCTTTGAATTTAGTCTAAGTGAATGCATATTTATTACAGGAATTCAAATCCACTTAATGCACTTAATTTACCCTGACCAGTTTCACAAGAGAGATTGGGAATCTTTGGGCTAGTAATCCTCCCTGGTCCCTGAGAACAGTTGCAGCTGTTCCCTGTGTTTCATGAAGAGGAATTGTGATCCATGCTGTAAAATTACTCCCTTGCCCACATGCTGAAGACTGCAGTTGTATTTTGCATGTATCTGCTAACACCCTACAGGCTGATGGGTGACTCTCTCCATGGTAAGGTGCTAATTCCCACTGCAGTCAGGTGCCTTTTAAGTAAGGAAGTCCATACAATTTTCTTGTGGCATTTTCTTGTGGTAGGTCAAAATTGGTACCAAAGTGTGTAAGCTTTATAAATATAATTAGCTTTTGTTATTCTAGGGAAGTATAGGTTCCTGGACCTAGAAGTCCTTAAAGTTATCCAGAAAATGCCAGAGTAGGATCTAGGAGATCAAAGAAAGGTAAAGCTCTTTGTTAATTTCTACCAGCTCAGGTAGTTGTGAGCTGGTTCTGGCCATTTGTTTGTTGTTGTTTTGTTTCTTTTACTACAGCCACTAGAACTATAATACGTTGCCTTTACAGTCTGAATTTGAGTACTGTTCCATGACTGTCTCCTTAGTGTTCCCTTAATGATATGTACGAGATTTAAAAAGGTTTTAGGAAGAACCTAAAGTACATTTGGAAAATGTTTCTGAGGAGATGGTGGTGGTTATTGCTATCACAATTGATTTTTGCCACGTGGAAATATTTGAGACTTCTACAGCTTTTGGCTTTGGAATGAAAATAGGATTTTTTATTTCCACCATCTCCCCCTTCCAGTGAAAAAAGTGAGAGAATCTGAGGGAAGAAGAAAGAGGAGGTTGTCATTCTACAGTATGCTGGGAAGGACTGTAGGGGCTTCCTGAGACAGATCAGAAACATTGTAGCCTTACAGTGACTCGAGATCAGGACATTGTGGCCTTACAGTGACTTGAGTCAATATATAATGCCTGTTGAGATTTGTTAGAAGCACTGCTGTGTTGACATTCTGTGCTGCTGGTCTTGACTCCTCACCAGGTGCTGTCCATTTGCTTTAGAAGCTTCTTGGTGCACTTCTGACAGCTGCCACATGCCCTTTTGTCACCTCTGTCTCCTGGCTTGCTCCAAAATACCTGCAGGTCACTGGTAGAATGCCACTTACCTGCATTGAAAAGCATGTTTCCAACCCACCCTCGTTCACAGTGGCTAGACCTTCCTTTCCATACCTTTGCTTTCCTCTGTGGGGATAGAGGGGATTGTCCCTGTGATAAGGACAATCCCAGATGCTTGGGATAGTGGTTCACCTCCCAGAATCTGGGCTTTTTGAGTACACTGCAGTTCTCCAGAGATACTTGGGGTTGAGGGGAAAAAAAACTTTCATGAGGACTAGTCAAAATAACTCTCTGTCCTGTAGCCTTTCACTGTTTTGGGCATATTTCCAGCTGTGTTTTGCTGACATAACAGACCAGCATTTTGAGTCTTACTGCTCCTGGGCCTGGCATTACTGTACATAGAGTGGTTGCTTTTGTTCAGTTTTGGAGACAAAAATGCAAGCTTCCATTTTCGTTCTTAGAAAATGCCAAATGTGCCTGAAATTAGGCAGCAGAGGATAGAAGTATGTGCCTCAGCCAAATAAATGACTTGTATCCTGCAGACATGAGAGTGGGAAAGTCTATTGATTCATTGTCACATAGATAGGAGAAATAAATATGTAATGTCCAGTACAAATGGCTCCAGACAGCTTCAGGACAGCAATCGCATACATTGTCATCCTGTATGCAGATGTATAGATACAGACTGTAACTAGAGCCTAATGATAATGAGAACATCTGGAAGCATGTGGAAAATGTTGCCTCCCCTGTTCCTCACCTCTACTGCATCTTTGGCCTTTCATTGTCTCGTGCAGATCCAGTACTGGAGCACTATTTAGTAGCTGCCAAAAATCAAGTTCAGTTAGAGCAGCTCTGGTGAGTAGGAGGATCAGAAGGACTCCAGCCAAGCTGGGGACACCGTGGTTGTGTTGGTTTTGGCAATTAGCCAGTTGCCCTTAGTGCTGTGTTTGAGTTTCTCCTTTTTACAGCTTCACACAGTTGGTGTCCTGATTCTGCTTTGGAGTCTGCATTTTTGAGTTCTCATGCTGTTGCTGTCTTTAGATCTTCAGCTTCCCTTTCAGTGTAGTCTGAAAACCAACCTGGCTGTGTGATCCCCTGGAGCTAGAGACCAGGCAGTCAGAAGTAGCATGACTTTGAGTTGGCTACACCCATACATAAAGTAGGTGTGTCTGGAGGTTGTTTTCTTTACTATTCCTATTTTCCCTCATCCTCAGTGCATGTATATATACAGATGATGCAACCAATGAAAGTCCCAACAAGCAACTATAAAAGAGTTCCACAAAGCAGTGAAGGTGCATATTTTGTCATTTCTGTCAGTTCTTGTGATGGAGTTGGAGGTCTCTGGAAGGTTCTGGCCATGATGCAGGTGTGGCTGGTGTCTTCAGGAGATGAAGATTCCTAACTATCAAAGCCTGTCTCTTGTTCCTCTTCCAGGCATGGCATTTGTTTCAGCAGACACACAAGATCATGCAGTGGAATCATAGGCAAAACTTAAGACTGATCCCAAGGGACTTAAACCTTGTCTTCAGATAGCAAAATATTCACCTGTAGCCATGAGAAACTGGGGATTATCTTTCTATCTGTCTGTGCGTCTGTCTGTATTTCCCCATTATAGCTTCCTGCTCTCACTACCATGTTTTCATTTCTAGCCCCAACTTGGTTATAGGCAGTGACTGCCATTCTAACTTGTTGTCCAGCCTATGTCTGTTGTCACCTCAGCCTTTTCTTTGACATAGGTGTGAAGTCACATTTTCAGAACATGTGATCACGTATGTATATTTTAGCGCACATGAGCAGTGTTTGCAGGTGTCAGGACTCCATGCTGCCACTGTGTTGTGGTGGTCAACTCAGCTGCTTCCAGGAAAGCTGAGCTTTCTGCTGAGACCTCATAGGTGCCGTGGAATAGGTTGGCTCACCCACCACCAGGATGCTGTCACCTCACAACTCTGGATCCATGGAGTTTAATGCCATTCCAGTTTCCTCCACTTCACTTCAAATTCATTACTTCAAATACAGCTGTCAAGTTTTATGGTAGAATTTTAGAAAAATGCTGAGAGGAGTGTCATGTGTCGCACACACAAAGTCTTGATGAGTAGAAGCTCTTACTCTGCAGACTTGCTTTAAGTAGGGTTAGGTTAGGTACTGTCCCAAATGCCATTAGCTGCAAGTTTGTTGTGGAACTGAACAAGTGAGGATGGCAACAAGCACTCAGCAAAGAAAATAAAAAATATTTCTCTCAGGCTAGGAACAACTTGAATTTCTGATGCATGCATGCAAGCAAAAATGCCATTTTCTCTCCCACTCATTTTTTGTTCATCTTTTTCGCTTTTCTTCATGCTGTGCTCAAACTTTATAATTGTGGGCCAATTTTAGAAACTGTATTGTTTTTGAAATAGTATATTACTCCAATGTAAACATTTTTCATTTCAGTTGGAGTATTATGGTTGGAATAATGAGTACTTCCCTTCCTGTGTGCTAGCAGATGCTTTTTCAACATAATTTGATTTTGCTTAAAGTTTAATGTATATAACAATGGGTACTTGATCATGTATTCATATATCAGTACTCTGGAGACAAGTTTCATGCTGACCATTCAAATGAGTGTTATCATGCGAGTAGTAACAAGACTGACTGGGAATAACTAAGTTACATGTTGGCGTGAGAGCCAGAATGATTCTGGTAAATTCCCATGTTACAACCTAACCAGCTTGATTCGATTCAGTACTTACTTTAATGGGAGCAAGGTGATCTAAGAGGAATTCTTCTTTATTGTTTTGCCTCATGGAAACTGTACAAAACCTCCTTGTAGTAACGGTAATTTGCTATTATGTGATTAGTTCTGGAATGTGTTAAGGGACATAAGCTAAGTTTAATAGCCAGAAATATTATTTTGTCTTAATTTCATTGAGGGAGTTCCCAAAGCTATGTAGACATTCCAGAGCTTTATGATAAACTTTTGGATTGATATGATAGACTGCTGCCTTGTCATTTTCCTTATCTATATAGAGTCATGCATACCCATGTGATGGTTTACTTATGTATAGAGAGGATTATGAAATATTTTCCATCTCTGTTGCATCTGGTATCTTCAGGCCATGTATCCAGTTGCAATCTTGGTGAGGACAATTAAGCCCCTTGGCAAGCCAAACTGGGGTTATTTTATTTTAAAATACGCTTTAAAAAATTATAGTTGTTCGTATGTATTTTTTATGCTCTTTGCTTCTCTTTTTCTTTAACTTAGCTTTGTGCTTGCTGGAACCTTAAAAGTGTAAAACAAGTGTTTAGAAGCAATAGAATAACTTCCTTATTGTGTGGTTCCATAAAAATGATATCAACAAAAATTTAATCTCTGTGCTTTGAAATTATGTTATGATTTTACTGTGATGTATGCTTTTGTTGGTGGTGGTGTTTTTCTCTGTTTCAGGCCAAACAAACCAAGTGGCCAAGGAGGCAGCCAACAGATGGACTGGTGTGTATTGCAGTACACAGCTTCACACTAGAGCAGTTTCACTACTCAGTGTTAAGAGCTTTAAATTTGATCAGGATTTGATGTAGGATAGTCCTTACTTGAAAAACATAAAGAAATTTATTTTACATATAAGACTATTATGATTCAACAAAAAGAATACATCTTCTCAGTTTAGTTACTGAATATACTTCATAAGCCATAACAGATTTGTCCTTCTGGTCCTGTCTTGTACACTGTGTTAAATCCTGCAGTTTGTTTCCTTGGATGTGTTGAAATCTCTTAAGATGAGGAAAGCAATAAAGATTGGAAATGGTCATGCCTAGATATTCAGAAAGTTGAATTCTTTTCTGAATGTTCATTTCTTTCTAAACAGTAAAATGTTTTGTGGAATCTTATTGCTGCTACCATGTGATGGATGCTGATACAAAGTAGGTATTTCTCAAACTAATTGATCAGTTTTGACAGGTAAAATGATGCATAGTTTTAAGGAATGTTACTGTGATGACATTCATGAGGAAATTTAACTCAATTTTTTATTGTTGCTTAGCTTTGCTGTATTCATTTCCTTTTTAGAAAGCAAACAATTTTTATGTCCTTATGTTTTTTTACAATTATTTGGAATATTGTTTATAATTTTTTGTCTAGAGTAGATCTCTTACTGATGGACCACTTGCTATCATTGGTTGTGCCAAGTGTAGCAGGATATCACTGTCTTAGTCTTTGGACTATTTTTTTATATCTGGGTTGTTTACTGCATATGGGGAAATAAAATTATGTCTTCTGAGAGTTGTCAGGGCTTTCTGTTGTTGGTGACAGGCTCTTCTCAAGGCCTCAAATGAGGTAAAGGAACTGTGTCTCAGCCAGTAGAAAGTACTTTGCTATTTAATTAGACAATTTGGTTATATGCTGCAGCATATTTTTCTTTTGAAGAGACAGTTTTAAAACCAAATGTGTGATAGTTAAAGAAAAGAAAACTATCTCTAAGCTGTGCAGAGACAGGGAACACTTCCTCTCCTAAGGAATGCTGCAATTTATGGGTGTTAAAAATGATGTAATGAGTTTCAGTAAATGCTGCAGTGAAAAACCTTGTTAAATTGAACAAAATGTATATGTTAAACTACTGTGATGCTAAAAGAGAAGTGCTGAGTAAAATAAAGCTTCTTTAATGTCTTTTTTTTAAACTTCCAAAAAATACAGTGTCTGAAGAAACATGCAGGACTAGAAAGGACCTTAGAGTAAATTTAAATCAAATTTTTATAGCTGTAGACAGTCACATAGTAGATGTCTAGTTGAAGAAGGATCTATAAAATACTTACTATGCATATTCACACTTACCTCATCACTATAGCAAGCTTATGCTGTAATTGTAGCTTTCAGTCTCCTTGTAAAAGAGGAGCAAGAAAAGACAAAAATAATAAATTTTTATTCAGCACTAAGTAAATTATTTCCTCTTTTTTGGAGGTTATTAACAAAAGCCTCATGTTTTCTGTTCTAAATCTACTTGATAATGATGTTCCCCACTATGTACCTTTTCATACACACAAGAGACACTGCAAATGGAAGGATTTTGTTGTAGCCAAGACTATAAATCATGCTTTCCTAAATACTCAAAATGAATGTTTTTCATTCTGTTTACAGATAACATCTTTTCAATAAAGTCCTGGGCCAAGCGTAAATTTGGATTTGAAGAGAGCAGAATAGATAAAGGTTTTGGAATCCCAGAAGATTTGGATTACATTGATTAGTGTTCAGTTGATGGCTGACACAGTTGTGCATAGTTTGTTACATATTCATAGCTGCCATTAAAATGTGAATCCTTTCCAAACAGGTGACCATCCTTTAATTTGCTGGTTTTGTTAAGGTTAATAAAATACTAAAAATATTTTTTGCTGTGTTTTTTCTTGTACTCTGTAGATAGTAAATCTCTTGGTTTCTTCTGTTAGACAGATTTAGCATGGATAGAAGTTATAGGGAATAATTACTACAAAGTCTTGAGACTGGATTTAACTCTTCCTTTGCTTAACTGGGAGTAGTAAGTACTAAGAGCTAGAAGCTCTAGGGATTTATGTTTAAACGTGTTTAAGGCTTTGGAGTGGGAATAATTGGGAACAATATGGAGAAGGATGAATTTTCCCCTTATCTCACCAGTGAAATAGAAAAGAGGATAATCTTTTAATGGAAAACAGTGAGGCAGTAAGGAGCTGAGTAGAAAGGCTGAGGTCTGGTTTCGGGTAATTTTTTATTGTGTTGCCAGAACTGCTTGTAAGTTTACTGACAAAATTATATTTGTTGTTGGAAAATACTAGTTCAACAGAGCTGAATCTGTTCCAGAAAATATATTGGATTTGACACTGAGAGAGCTGATCTGGTCAAGAGTGTATCTGCATAGAAGAGGGAGCAAAGAGCACCAATCCCTTCACACCACTGTGCACCAAGATTTAGGATGTTTATCTGGGATGTGAGAGACTGAATTCAATTTACTGTTAAAAACTGAGCATTCTTGGGTTTATGCACATTTTTCAATTTTAGGTTAAAAGCACAGCCATCCAAAATAATAACAGATTATGAGCACCTCAATTTTTTGGTGAAGATTCTGAAAGCACCTCACTTTGTATCAGCTTCTGGTTTCTAGTTCTGAACAGTGCAGCAAGAGAAGTGGACAGTGGAGACTCGTGTTCACCTTCCACAGCTGTGGATTGCAAGATGGCATTTCTACTGTACAGCTCTGGAGGATTTAAGCTTTACCTTTAGGAGGCAGGTGGGCCTGCTGCAAGCTGTCACTGAGAAGTGTCTGTTTGCCTTTTATGTAACATTTGATGAGAGAGCATTGCTGAAAATGTGGCATTTATCTGGAAATGTGCTCAGAAATCTGTCTCCTGTGACCTTTCCAATTAAAAAGTTTCCTAGCAGTTCAGCACATGTTAAAATCCAAGGATTTCAGGTATGCTCCTGGCTATTGCCATCTCATGTCTATGAAGACAGCAAAGTTACTGGGAAGATAACAGGTGGAAGATTTCATCTCATAGAGATAGCATAGCAAGCTATCCATTGCCTAAGGAAAATGTATGGGATGCTTGTCACATAGGAAGATGTCATTATGCTTAAAATTGCAACGGAGATGTTCCCTTTTATGTGTTTGGAAGGACTTTATTCCTAATTTGTCCAATACTGAACACTGAGTACAGCTGCTGAGTGGTGAAGGCGTAAGGGAAGTAGGTGGTGCTGAGCTGAGTGCAGTGTTGGAGTGTTCCTGAGCGGGCCTGGCTTTTGCCCCAGGAAAGGGGTGCTGTGCAGCAAAGCTCCCTGTGGTGCCAAACCAAACTACCGATGCGCTTGTAGCTTGGGTGGTTGGGTTGCTCTTGAATTTTGTGCCGTGAAACTGTAAAAGAGGCAGGCTATTTTGGTTCTTTTTAGGAGATTTCTCTTGAGTCTTTTTTTGGTTTTGCTAAACACTTAGAGCGACTATTTAGTGCCACCTAACAGGTGTGAGAAGCTCCTTGGCACATCTGATAAGAGCACATAACTGCCATACAGTAGAGATGATGATGACGTCTCAAAAGACTTGTTTGTATGAAGGAGGTTGAGTGCATTAACTTACTCATGTTTTTTGCCTGTTAGAATCACTTTCATGTGGCTGACCTTCTCCTTGTCAAGGAGCCTCAGGTAATATATGATCCGTAGCAGCTCGTGCACCAAGACTTCCTCTGGTACCTGTGGGGATGAGGGTTTCTTACTCACTTTACTGCTTTGGCTACTTTCCAAATTCAAGAGGGAAACGAAGATGACCAACTATGTAAGTTTAGCTGCAATGTTGTGGCTTCCTGTCTGTAGGGTAGAGGCATTGTGGACTGTAGTAAAACCTTTAAATATAACAAATACCATCTAAATAACTGTATTTGAGGTAGATTTGCCCAGAGATAGTACAGTCAGCCAGAATGAGCTGGCTTTAAAATGTCAAACACAGCCATTATGCTTTGGACACCAAACTTAGGTAGTTCAACTGCAGGGGATTTCTAGCAATGTAATTTTCTCTAGAGTTTTGGGTTTGTTTTGCAGGTACAGAACAGACATATACATACCATTGTACTTTATTTTCTGTTCTCTCTCTTGGTGTTGGTTAGCAAACCTGGAGGGAGAATATGTCTGGTTCTCTAATGACACAATTTTAGAACAGTCAGAACAGGAATTATTCAGCTGAAGAAAAGAATGGAAGAGGTAATGCACTACCAGAAACTGATTCTTACTCCTCTAGTGGAATAGATTTATTTTGTGCTACTTCTTTGTTATTCTGGATTTTTAGCACAGGTGAATTTCAACAGGACAAGCATAGCCAGATCCTTTCTGAGAGAAAAAGAGACAATTTGTGTATCTTGCATATTCCAAGATACTTTGAGCCTGCTGCATCTGCTCACTTTTGGAAGCTTTTCTTCTTAAAAAGATATGCAGCAGACTGTTAAATCCCACAATATGAAACCATGTAGGATTGTGTGGTTTGAGATGTGTGTTCACTTTAGTTTTTAGGAGAAGCTGGGACTTTCTTCTTCTGCTGAGTTAAAAGTCAGTAACAGTTAAAATTAATTTTCTTTCTGAGAATTTTTTGCTCTTAGCAAAAATGAAAACACTCAAGCTGATTTATTGTCCCAATTTGTATTTTCAGAGTTTTCTTGAGAAAGAATCTGAACTGTTTCTAAAGAATCTAGCAAGAAAACACTAGTTTAAGTGCTTACTTCTACTGTTATTCTTGTGGTTATGTCACAGCTATTTTATGTCTATGTCTTCCTCTTTTTCTTTCTTGTGCCCTATAGGTTTTTTTGCCCATGTAAGGTAAATGTTTTCAACTGTTACAGCTAAGTCAGGAGGCCAAGCCATTGCTACAATTCGGGTTTATAATTAAAACAGTTACTAGTGCAATGGGTGAAAATCAGACCTGCTTTTAACAGGAGTCTGTAGCTCTGAACAGTACCAGGAACAGTATCAGGTTCAGCTTTTCAAAATCCTGTGAGTAGTTTATTTTTACAGTGCTAGGCTGAGGTGTTGGATAGGCCTGCTCTTTGGGACTGGTGTTGATTTGCCATAGTGAATTATGCAGGAGAAAATATTTATGTCTACTTGATCTACTAGGAAACCTTATATATTTAAAGAAATGTGCTGATTGTATCTGCCCTTTCATTCCATTCGTCCTTGTCTTTTATCTTGCCATCCGCATGCTCTCTACAACACCGAGCATCAGCTCTAGGACTCTATTTACGGTACTTGCAGAGTGTTAAATGTTAACAGTCACAAAGGTTTAGGTTTTGACACAAGTCAGTTGCTAAGCCTTTCATTAATGCATCATGTAAAATGTCATGGCTGTTTGGGGATGTATTAAAAGGGAAAATCCGGGCTCTGACACAAATGGCACAGTGATGCTGCAATCATGTGACAGGTAGAACTGAAACTTCTTGGGAGAATGAGGGGAAAAGAAACCCAGTTTGTGATGGTGACTAAAGAACTTCAATGCAAGAGCTCCTTAGAGAGTCCTTCCGTTACCCAGGCATGTTTCCACCAGTCAGGTGATCTGGTTGGTGCTTATATTCACCTTGTTTCTTTTTAGAGGTAAGGTTTGTATGATCGTATATTTCTGTCATTTATCTTCTCCTTTTCCCTCCCACTGTTCTTAAGTTACCCAGTGATTTCAGCTAAGTTTACTCTGAGGGGCCCTGGTACAAACTCATAATTTATCTCTTCTGTTTGGCTGCCTGCCTGATAAATACAGGCTTTCCCTTTCCCACCTACCACTTTTGGGACCTGAGAAGGTGTAGAGCATGCTGGGGGTGGGAGGAGGGAGGAAAGATGGTGATGGAACATTACATGAGGGTCTGGCAGCATTGCTGGGCCTGAGATGGGATTGTTGTGTGCATCCTTTCAGTGGGAAGGAACAGGTGACTTCAACAAGTGAAGTCCTCAACTAACCTCGGTGTCACACATGATTGGGTTCTTCCATGATGGCAGTAGGGAACTGCCAGCTAGACACAGTTCCTGTGTAAATATTCTTGTGCCTAAGGACTCTGCCTCCTCAGCTTCTTTTTCTCCTTGTCCCATTTATATTTTCCACCCCTCCACTGTCATTTCCCTTTCAGATCTGCTTGTGGCAAGCACGTAGGCTGAGCAAGCGAAGCACTGCAGTCTGTACAGATGGTTGTCTGTCTTCCTCCTCCTCCTGCTGACACTGCTGTCAGCACACACCTTCCAGTGCACAGGCACACGGGAAGGGAAGCATCTCTCTCTGTGTTAGACTCGTCTCTTTAAACTGTATGCACAGAAGGTTGCATGTCAAGAAGACCAGGGAGCAGAAGGATCTGTGAACACCACCACAAGCACCACTGAACTTCTCAGTGTCACTTCAGACTCTTTTATAACGCCTCACAAGTGAATGAACAGTTTTTATGCTATGTGGTGGTTGTACCTAACCTAGTTAGAAAAATTTTCCTTACAAAAAAAAGTTCCTGCTGAAGTGTTTATAAGGAACAGTTTTTAAGCAAAACCTGCTGGGCAATTTTCTGTTTCCAGTATTTGATGAAAACCCAAGTTATGCTGAGAAAGGATGAGCCTTTCCCTATGAAAAATTTAATTTTAAAATATACTCCGGCTTTGTTTAAAAAAACCTTACTGGTCTGGCAACCAGTGCTAAAGTAAATCCTGTAACCCATCCAGGGGCCACCTTTTTCCAGGTGAGATTATTAACTTCTGCTGTGCTGCTGCTGCTGAAGCAGCAAAAGGAAAAGCTATTTAAAATTACAACTTCTAGAGAAAACCAGTGATTGAAGAGGTTGTGTTTGAATAGAAAAAGGCCTGAATTACCATCTGCATATTGAAGCTGTGTCTTACAGGGATCCCACTCTACC